AGGTCTCGCTGCCCAGGCGGGTCTTGAACCCGCGGGCTCAGGCCATCCACTCACCTCAGCCACCCAAAGTGCTGGGATTACAGGCTGAGCCACCAAGCCCGGCTTCATTTCTTTTTAAGATTAATATTCTGTTGTTTGTATGCACCACGTCTTGTTTATCCATTTATCCATTGATGGACTCTTGTCTTTTCTGTTTGTTTCAACAGGGCTGTTAAATTAAACCTTGTTTTATATTAAACGTTGTTTTATTTCTTTCATATATTCAGACAGATTCTTTCAAGATGGGACAAGAGTTTGCAAAACGCTTCTCTGGGAGTGCAGACAAGCTAACCAGTCTTAATCTGGTTTCCAGAACTTTAAGCTTAGATATGACAGACCCGGTTGTGTCTCAAAAACCTGCTGAGTGCCATAATTCTAGTAAAAGGGCCGTCAGGGCCACATCAGAAGGACTCTTACTACAAGATACCTCTCAGATGGGGTGCTTTGATCACGCACTTTCAGCCAACAGAAGTAGTTACCCAAGTTTTGGCCAGCAGTCATCCCACCTACTCAGTAAAGAACAAAGAAACAACAATCTTCAGAAAGAATCTTTAATATTCATGAAAGGAGTCATGGATGAATGTACTCACGTAGCAAATTTCTCAGGTACTAATGTTTATGTGAAAGTGAGAATATTTGCTGATGTGTAAGTATTTGTGAAATATTTTTAAGGATGCTTTACAAGATCAGTTTTGATTATTTTCCGGGTCTATTTTTTGTTGGTTCTAGAATGTGTTCACCATGATAAGTTGGTTATGTAAATGTATCATACTTTATCTATGACTATCTAAGAGCAACACTGTTAGCCCACAGGTGTTACTAAAACTAAGACCATCTTGTTTGTTTGTTTGTTTCTGAGTCAGAGTTTCACTCTGTCCCCCAGGCTGGAGTGCAGGGCACGCTCACAGCCACTGCAGCCTCGACCTGCTAGACTCAGGCAGTCCTTCCGCCTCAGCCTTCCAAGTAACGAGAGCTACAGGCGTGTGCCACCACGCCCAGCTAGTTTTTTGATTTATTGTAGAGATGAGGTCTTGCCAAGTTGCCCAGGTGGGTCTCGA